ATACAATAATATTACAAATTAAAAAACATGTTTTCAATAGTTGATTCTTCAAATGTCTTCAATTTTGAATTTTTCTATCCACTTCGATTTACATAAAAAGCCGATTAATAACTCTTAAAATCACATGTTAGCCTTTCTCCTTTTTGTAGCCGTTTCAAACGCATCAAAGGGAATTGATGTCTCTCAATCAACATCAACTTCATCATTCAGTTGCTTAAGAACCAATGGGTTTACTTCGATAGTTATAGTTCGTGCTTGGAGATCATCAGGAACCTTTGATACCAACTGTGTTCAAACACTCAAAAATGCAGCTTCTGCCGGATTTACTGCCAAGACTTCTGATGTCTACTTTTTCCCTTGTGTTTCCTGTGGTGATGCTGCTGGTCAAGTGAAAACTTTCTGGTCCAAAGTTGAGTCCAACAGCCTGAAAGTTGAAAGAGTGTGGTTTGACATCGAAGGAACGTGGACAAGCAGTACTACAAGTTTGTTATTTATTATAATAAAAATATTATTAATTAATAATAAATATTTTATAATTAATAATTATTATTATTTCGACTTTTAATAGATTAGTAATTTAAAAATATATTTATTAAGTATATAGTTTCAAAACTAATAATTATAGTAAATTTAATTCAACACTTATAGTTAATTTTAATAATTCCAAAAAGTAATTTATATAAATAAAATTGTTATATTAAATTTATAATATTCAAACTATATTATAGGTATACTATATATATTTAACTTTTATACTATTCAAACATAATAATATTATTAAATTATTATAAATAATTATAAAATAGTTATTTTCATTGTAATAGTGATTTTACTATAATATTAGTATAACACAACAAGCAATAGAAACTTCTTTGACGCTATGATCAACGAAGCTCGAGCTATTGGAATTAAATACGGCATTTATGCTTCAAAGAATGGGTGGACTTCTATTCTTGGGTCATACACTTTTAAATATGCGAGTGATATTCCTTTGTGGTATGCCCATTACGATAACAAAGCAAGTTTCTCCGATTGGTCATCGTATGGAGGATGGTCTGCTCCTACTATGAAACAGTATTTGGGAGATGTAGCAACTTGTTCCGCCAATGTGGACTACAATTACAAGGCTTAAGACCATTTTTCATTTCCACTTTATTGAAATAATTAACAATTGTTAATATTATAATATAAACAATTAAAACAATGTTATAGTATATTATAGTATATTATAGTATATTATTTAATTTAAAGTCTGTCCATTATTTATTTTTATATCTTCTACATCTACATCTACATATATATGTTTGTCTAACGCATATATTTATTTATTTATTTCAGTTGTACGTTATTCTTGCGCTTCTTAATAGTATTTTATTAATAAGCAATATACTATAAATATAATTGTTTTTACTAATCTTAATAATAAATTGTGATGATTTTTCAATACGAACGATAGTTAATTTTTACTAACTATCGTTTTATTCAAGTTTAGTTCCTTAAGAAAAGATAAAATTATAAATGAATTATCTTTTGTTTGATGAACTAATTATTGTTTTAAATAGTAATTGTATAAACAGACAGACAAACAAGTTTTTGAAATTTAAAAAAGAAGTTAAATAATAAAAATAGTTAAAAATTAGAAAAACGTATTTTTTATTTAAATGAGATTTAAAATACTAATAAGAAATAAAAAGGTATTAGAAGTAATGGTATTATAATGAAAACTTTTAATACTTTAATATGTTATACGTTTAACATATATATCATATTTCGATAAGGTGTGATAAAAACATAAAAAACATTAACAATTGAAAATGATAGAGGTCTTGATAAATAATTAATAAAAAGTGTTAGATAGGTCTATCAAATCGATAATAAACAAAAACAATTGTAGAACAAACACAAAAATTTTTAGAAAGACAACACCAAAGATATAAAGAAGTTGTTGAATGTTATTTTTGCGTGCAGACTAAGATACCGAGTCTATAATACAAACGGATTGTGTTTGGTTTAACAAGCCAAACAATATATGATAAATGATTTTGTACAAAAAACACACATTATGTAAATTAGAATGAATGTTTAAAATAAGTTGATGTGTATATGTAATGTAAGTTACAAACATTTTATAAAAAAAAGATATTTAAAAATGGATTAACAACAAGTATCGGCAATAGATTGTAACATGTACATCAAGATAATAACAACTTTATATCAAATAATAGTTAATTTTTAATATTGACCAGTAATAAAGTTGTGTAAGTAAACACCAGAACAACAAAAAAGTGTTAAATATTTAATTCATGTGTCATGTAAACAACTTTTTAAATACATATAATTTTTATTCATTGTGATGAGTGTCTCTATCTTATTATGTACTATTGAAAACATATTTTATCACCTGGTATTTAAAGTGAAAACTGTTATTATAATTATAATTTAAAAATAATAAAAGTTGATTCTTTTTTTAATAAAATGAAAAAAAATTAAAAAGAGGAATGCGACGAAAAAGCATTTTTATTGATACAAATAACAAAGTTATGAATTAATATTTGGGCTAAAATGATGTTGTTGACCCGATAATTATTATCGGGTTTAAAGTGCTTGTATTTATTATTTTTATATCAATTTGTTGTATTTATTTAATTCTGGATATTATTAAACCAATACAAACCAATTTAAAATTAAAAAATGAAAATTCAAACAAATAAAACACAACTTTCAATTTTTAGTTCTTCTTTACTTTTCAAACACTGTTTTATCAGGGAATTTAGTGACCAGCCATCTGTGCATATATCTCATTTCCTTTTCGAATGTTCTCTTCGTCATGTCGTCATTCACGCAGAATACGTATGGATTAATTTCTTCGTTCTGTATTTTTGCGACGACATTTTTGATGTGTTTGTCATTGAACATCCAGAACTTTGCCAAATTATATTCTCTGACGTCCAAACCATATCCTTTAATAACTTCGAACACTCCATATATATACGACCAATTTGTTGTCTCCCAAGCCCTAGTTTTCTTACTTCTTGTATTTTCAAAATCGTCCCAAAAAGCCTTTTCTACTTCATATGAAATACTTTTCTTAAAGAAATGAGCTGTATGTGACATGAACCGGTGTTTAGTGTTTTCCGGCTTTCCAAAGTATTTATTCACAATTTTATTTGAGTGAGCCACGCAGTTATGAAATAACGACTTTTTAGCAGACACCACGTCTGGAGATGGTCCTTCGACTTGGACTTGGATCATTCCGTCTTTGACAAGTAGTCTGGTGGTGTTGGTTTATTAAAGAAGACGTCGTCGTTGAGATAAATGAAGCACTCCCCGAGGTTTTTAATTTTATGTAAATTAGTTTCAATAGCTTCACTATTAAATACAGGCAAGTACTTCTTCTCTATAATTTGTGAGTGGGGGACGATTTCTAAAGTGATGTTATTCTTCATTACTATAAAACTCGTCATGTTATATGGAGCGTCTAAAAAAGAGGGAACTTGGTCGTCGGTCACTATAAAGTAATTTTTAACATACGGCAAGTACTTATATACACTTCGTATTGAGTAGACTAAAGTGTCTGTATTTCGATACCGATTTGCGTCGAATTTTGTGACGTATTGCTTTAAATGTGAGAGCCAAAGAGGGTCCGTCCCATTCACCCAAGTCCACACAACATCGATCCGGTTGTTGCAGATCTCAGGCAAGTCGGTCATCTTTTGTAAATCAATTTCAGTCTGATTTGATGTAAATTTGTTGCATAAAACACATTTTTGAAGCGCATTTTTGCGCTCGCGGGATTCTTCTTTTTGGTCAACAAGACCTTCGGTCTTAAATTTGAAAGGATCTGTTGGGTCATTAATTGAATCAATTTTCTTCTCTTTGGCATTGTTTGGTTTGTTGTCGATGTTTTCATCGTGTTTTTCATTTGTTTTTTGTTGTATAGATAGAGCTAAAACGGAGTATCTGTTATACTCTTCAAGTTGCGTTTTATTGAAAATTGGCGTGCCATCCTTTTTATCGAATTTTGGATGCGGAATTGTTGAAAATTCTATTAATAAATCATGGTCTTGAAATTCCGTGTTTGTGGATAAAGTAAACAACATTGTTGTCTTTGTCGTTTGCATTGTAAGCAAAACAAATGATGACATTATAATAAATATACAAAGGTTTATTAAGAAGAGAAGCTTGTATAATGTCATTCTTCAGTGTTTTGTATTTTCAGTATTGTTCACTGTTTTCGTTAAATTCCAAAAAAATGCATTCTGATGTGTTTTTTCTATTTTAAACACATTAAATTAATGAAAATTTGTAAGTTTTTTGATAGTGTAGTTTTATCGGATTAAAAATTGGTTTGTTCGTTGCAATTTTGCACCGATATATTGTTTAAAAAAATTGGGTACCGATATAAAGCTCAGTAATTTTAAAAAAAATTTATTCAAAAAAACCTGATTTGTTAAGGAAAAATATATAAAATAAAAAATTTGTTATAATTAAAACAATCGGCTCCTGTTAAAGACAGGAGAGAGAACGCACCTGTGTCACATTCTAATTAAAAATCAATTATATTTTTATTATTTAAAAATTAATTTTTATGTTATAATTATTTTCTTGAAAATTTTCCAATATTGTAAAATCATGTTTATCAGACCAAAGTTACTCGTTTCAAATTACAGTAAAACCTCCCAAGAGCGGTACCTCTGAAGAGCGGGCATTTTTTAGACTAAAACTAAAAATAGAGTTCTCTATCGAGCGGTAATTGAGGTTTGATTGGCTAAAAATGCCCGCTCTTGAGAGAACAAAATTCCCACGCCCTCCCGCTCTTGGGAGGTTTTACTGTATTAATAAAGAGTATGATTTAAATTGTTTTATTATTATTAAAGTAAGTTAAAGTAATTTCAGTTAATACTAAAAAATTATGTTTCGAGTTTTTGAATAAGAAAAAAGAAAAACATAGAAATTCTAGTTTATTACACTGGTTGTTGTTTTTCTGGTATTTTTAAATATTATCAAGATTTGATATAATTAATTATATAAAGACTTGAACCAATAATGATACGACTTATTTTAAAATTTATATAAAAACAAAACCACCAAATTTGTTAATAATGACATTTTTATTATAGTTTGAATTACATTCAAAAAAATAAAAAATGTTTTATTAATCGAATTATATTATAGTATAAATATATTAATTTTTTAGTTATTTATAAATATCTATAAATTTAATTTATTTTAATTATATTTTTAGTTTTAAAATATTTCCAGTAAATTCAACTAAAAATTATAAAATATATATATATAATATTATTAAATATTTCTAATGTTTCAAAACAATAAGAAACGTTCACAATTTAATTTATGACCATTACAAGAAATGCTTGAAAAGTTACTGTGACGCTTTATGTAGTCATTATTGTTGTTTTAATATGAGTTTATTATTTCTTTAATTATTCATATTTTTATTAAAAACAATTCAATAACAAAATAAGAAATTTTGTTATAATAACATTAAATTATTTAATTGTAAAAAAAAAATATTCATATATTTTGTTGTCGCAGATATTTGGTGATACAATTTCATATAACAACACATTTTTAACTGCTACATATTTATCAACTCTTTATAAATAAGTTATTGAAACTCCAATTGAGAAATGTAATATCAATGTTGTATTATTTCTTCACCACTTTATATCAATAATAATATAAAAACTATAATAATAACAATGTGTAGAATATCAGTGGAAATTAGTGTTATACAATTTTGTTTCAAATTGTTTTATTAATAGAACTTATTTATATTTAATTTATAACAAATAATAAAATATACTATTACAATAACAAATTGAATTGTTTCCAAAAAACCAGAATGTAAAAACAAAGCAAAAGTGTGACTAGAACAATTCCCAGTCAATATAATCCGATTTGAAAAACAAAAATAACAATCAATCAACATGCCAGTGACATACACAACAGACGTCGCCTTAGTCAAAGAGACTATTGCAAACAACAAGAATGTTCTTGTAGTCTTTTATTCGCCTGAATGCGCACAATGCAAAGCGAGTGCTCCAATGTTGGAAAAACTTTCAGAAGAACACAAAAATCTCAAGTTCTTTAAGGTTGACGCAACTACAGCAACTGAGTATGCTGCTGAATACCAAGTCACTTCACTTCCGGCTTTTGTCTTCTTCCAAGACCAGAAAGTCGCTAAGAAGGCGCCAGGAAGCCCAGATGCACTTAAAGAGATTATTGGCATGTCTCAATAATTCATCAATTGCACTGGATTTTTTTTATTAACATTTATTAATTAAAATAATTAATGTTTTTATTATTCAATCTAAAATTAAAATAATAATATACATTTTAATCATTACAACTGTTTTTACAGTTGGGTAAATTAAACAAATTTTTGGTTATGCCTATTTAAAACTTCACTTGATATTTCATTAACACTAAAAATAACTCTTTTGCTTTTTTAATCGACCTGTTTTTGATTGGATATTATTTTAATTTTTGATGATTTTACTCTTTTGGCTTGTGTTGTGTTTTAATTGATTTATTTTGTTTAATATTATTTTTGTGTTCAAAATACCATTTTTAGTTTATAAAACTCATTTTCTTGAAGGTTATACACATTTAATTGTTTGGTTCACTGTTGAGTGCTTTTACCATTGCTAATAAGCATATTCACATATAACCTTTTCAACATATCATTTTCAACCACATACACATCTTTTCAAGAAAAAGATCTTTTTAATACAAAGCACACCAAGCTTTTAATGTTTAAAATAGTGCACTAGCCCAGTTTTGTATTGATGAAAAATAACTTTTACACATCGCATTGTTATAAATAAATTCACTCTGACATAATATGCACTTGATAGATAGAATTTCATAGCACTAAGCTTCTCCATTTAAATTATTATTTTGATTAAAACATGATAAAATAAAAATATATTACCAAAAACCAAATCAAGTTTATTAATCAATTAAAATAGTTCACGAAGCATTGAAACAACTTCTTCTATTTTTAGTCTTTCAAGTGGATGTTGTGACCAACACAACACAATGATATTGTACATTTTTACATCAACATAATCAGGCTTTTCGAGACGCTTTCCCAATGAAACAAACTCGGCTATTTTCCATGGAAATTTGAATTCAACATCACTATACGCAATTCTCCAAGCAAAGCATTCATACATAGTCATTGCAAATGAATAGACGTCAGCTGGTCTTTTGTACTTTTCTTGTTTTAAAACTTCAGGAGCCATGTAAGTTGGTGTTCCAACACCTTTAGTGAATGTCATGTTTGTCATCATCATATTAATATTTCTTGACGATCCAAAATCAGTCAATTTTGCATTCACTTTTTCTGATGCATTCAATGAAAATACTAAAGCGTTGTCTGGCTTAATATCTCTGTGTAAGATTCCATTCTCATGTAAATACATAATGCCCATAGCAACATCTAACATGAATTTGAGTCGTAATTTCATGTCAATTTCACTTGAAGTTTTATTTTTTATCAAATCTTGTAGACTTCCAAATTGAGCAAATTCGGTGACCAGACACACTTTGTTTGGTATAAACACGGCACCATAGAAGTGGACAATATTTTCACTTCTAAATTTGTCTAACATAGAAACTTCATCTTCAAATTCTTTTTTACTTGATTTATCATCAGAAGATTGTTTCATCTTTTTGATTGCAACTTTGTCACCTCTGAACTCCCCCAAGTAGACAACCCCAAATGAACCTTCCCCAAGTTTCTTGGTTTCTATCAACTCGGTGTAGTCCAGTCGCGTCGTCATTTTTGTCACAGCACTTACTTCTATTTTTTCATCAATTTGTTTTCCTGTTTCCAAGTCGAGTGCGATGGCTACAATATTTGAATGGATATTACATGTGCAAACTGGTTTAATAAAGATCTCAAATTCACATGCAAATCCCTTTTTAAGAGTAACTAAAGTTGGCTCAGTTCGTATCAAAAATTGGTCGCAATTGTCGATAACACTGAATTGGACTTTTATTGTGTGATTGGTGTTATTTCCAACACACAGCAGTTCGCGTGTCTCTTCATTCACTTCTATCAAACTGTCTTCATTGAGAACTCCAAATGTAATAACTTGTTTATTACTCAACAAAAAGTCACCAAGATTTTGCAAAAGGACATTTGATTTCTTCATATTATAAACACAGACATTCAGCATCTTTTTCTTTTCTTTGTTGTGAAGATTAATTTGGTAACACAACACTACTACTATTACTAGAACAAGAATTATTAATATTACAACACCTACAATCGTCCCAAATATAATATCATAGCGCATTGCAGTCTTACAAAAAGACCCACTGTCATCAGGTGCATGCCACCCTTTACATTTAGTACATCGATCATTTGTTGCAGCTGTGCAATATTGAATTGTAGAAGAGTGGTGACACTTATAGTCAATATTTACATAATTGTTGGAGCACTCGGAACAATAAGTCATTGAAGTGCACTTAATACAGGTTTCTAAACACTTTGAGCATCGACCATTTGAGAGGAAATACCCCATTTGACAACTGACGCACCCATTTTTGGTCTTTTTAAGACAAAATTGAGTCAATTCGTCGAATGGAAGACACAACTTTGTTTCATTTGCTATTCTGAAGTAATTGTCTGCACACGACACACACTGTTTGTTATCTAAACAGGAATAGCATGATGTTTCACATTGTCTACAGTCTTTTGAAACGTAGTAATACCCAACTTTACAGATCGCACAGCCAACAGCATTTGGCATTAACATATCACACGTCTTATGTAATGAACCAACTTCTTTACATGTATGTTCACTCGTCAAATAGAATCCAGAGGGACATGAAATACACAAAGTTGTGTTGGAACAATTCACACATGAAGAATCGCACTTTTCACATGTATTCTGTAAAGTCAAATAATACGTGTCTTCACACTCTAAACACCCTTTGGTACTCATTTTCTTGCATTTAATCAAGTCAGAATATTTAAAAGATGATTGAATTAATTTGGTCGAAGTCATTAGAACACATTTAGAATCCGAAACCATATAATTTGGTAAACACTCTTTACATATCATTGTGTTGTTGGAATAAATTATTTGATAGATGCAATTGGGTATTTTAGACGTATTTTCACAATATATATCACTTATAGTACTTCTGTAGTAATTATCGACACATTGGATGCATTTACCTATAGCACTTCTGTGACAATTAAAATTGGTTTTGGAAATACAATTTCCGTCTGAAAGAAGTGTCTCTTTGTCACACAAAATACATTTAGAATTCAGTGAAATGATACAATTGGCTGTTGGATTTGTGACACATATGCCTTTGACTATGTCAGTGGTTTTAGAAGAACAATTAAGACATTCATTGATACCATAAGTAGTACATTTTTCATCTGATTTACAACTCTCAGCTTGTTGTGAATCACTTGAACGTACCAAGTCCTTTGAACACTCAAGAATTTTAAGTTTATTATTAAATAAAATGCAGACACTTGAATCAACACAGTTCATACATCTATTGTCATTTGAAAGATACATCCCTTTTTCACATGTATAATTCGCATTATTTCTAATATAATTATACTTATAATAAGATTTGCCACAGACTTTGTTTTGTATCAATGTAAAATTGTCATCACAAGAAAGACACATCTTTAAGTCTTCATATCCATTTAATAAGACGTACTTACAAATTGACTCATTAGAAGAAACATAACAATTGGAGTTGATCGCAAGTGTATCTTGACATTCACATGAACTACTTGTTTGTATGTTATCGCCTTCACAGTTATCAAAAGGAATGCAACTCCCGTTTCTTAGAAAATAGTTATTGTTACATGTCAGACATTCGTCTTCTTTATTTTGTATTGTACAAATGTTGTTATTTGATACACAGTTTTTAGTAGTTTTATCATAGTAATTCCCATCAATACATAACTTACAAGTCTTACCAATCGAATCCCAAAAATACGGAGGATAGCACTCTACACACTCCACATTCGTGTATGGTTTTTGACATAATTTGCAGTTATCAAAGGACGAGTAACACATTTTACATTCGGAAGTTTCATTTACAAATATAGCGCCCTTGTTTAAATTACATTGAACACAACTCCCATTAAAGAATCCAAATCCACTCTTACATTTTGTGCATTCAGCTTTTGTTTGGTCACATTCGGAACAATTTGGTAGCGTGTCACATTTATTACATTCACCTTCACTGTCAGGGTAGTATCCATTCATACATTGAGTACAGTGCTTTTTGTCATTAGAACAAAATTCGTTGATACAATAAATCTTTGAACATAAGTCGCACGTGCCTCCTGAAGTTAAATAATAATTTGATTTACATACCTTGCATTGTCGAGTAAAATCATACGAACAATATTGGCAATTGGCATCAAATTGGACACATTCAACACACCCCGGCCCACTCGTTTGTCTAACGTAATTTTTATTGCACTCAACGCAAACACCAGTTGAATTGTTACATCCACCAACACAAGTCGAATCACACAAATAACAACTCAACCCGCAATTCACCGAATTTTGGTAGTTATAAAACCCGTCCGCACATTGTGAACATTGATTATTATTATTATTACAAGTAGCACAAGTAGGTGTTTGGCAAGAAACTTCAAAGGTCGATGTGATGTATTGCCCATCGTTACAAGTGTGAGTACTACTACAAGATACACAAGATATGACATTATCAGTATTATATAAACAATAATTTGGTATACACATCCCACATGATGGAGTTCCGTCCACACATTTTAAACAATGATTTTGTGTATGATCATCACAAAATTGTGTTGTTGTGGCTGCTCCTTTGAGTGTCTCGTTTTTATAAAAAGTGTCCTGTTTATTATTAAAATAGATTGTATTCTTTATTCCAAATTCTTTAAAAGTGACCACATTGGTCAATGCACATTTAATGTTTGTTACAGTTTTGTAATTAAAGACTAATTCGCCAGTCGTTTGAGTAATAATTTCGTTGTCAGAGATATTACACATCATATCATCTTGAACGCAGTAGACTTCGGATTTTCTTGAACACCACCGAATGCCCACTGCATGTGTTACAAAAAGAACCCAAAACATTAAAATCTGGTTGAACTTATTTGATATTTTGATTATAAAAAATGTAATTTCAAAAACTAACCTGGTTTATTATAAAACGTTATCTTAATCACCAATGTTGTTTTATAAATGAAATAATACACATTTTAAGGTTTAAAAAACAGGAATCAAGTTAAAATATTTTGAAAAAAAAACTTAAACGAGTTTTGTTTTATCTCAAGCAGAATCCCGACATTTTACAATTAAATAAAACCAAAAAAACTATAGACAACATCTTCCAACGAAATTGATGAATTTAATTATTAAATGTTTTGAAAATATTAATTAAAAAACGTTGGTTATTTGAATTTACTTTTGCTTTAATCGATAATTTTTTGGTTGACACAATCAAGTTTTTTGTTTAATAAAAGCTCAAATCGTAAAAAAATTACAGGGAGGAAAAAACCACTTCCATTATTTTAACTGCTTCCTATCGATTTAATAGTTATAATCAATAACATTATAATAAAAAGTATGATTCAAATTACCACCTTGGACAGAAAAAGTCTCCACAAGGCATATTCAGCCTTCAGGATAAACAGTACTATACATTTTATTATATTAACCAAACTTAAAACCCCTGTAAGTTTGGTTATTAATATTTTTGATTAAAAGTTTACACACCAACTGTAATTATATTTTTTTTCAAAAGGCATTTCAAAATCAATTACGGAAGAATACAAATTTTTTAAATTGGTAAAAAAGATACATTTAAAGATCAAAAAAATTTTAAAATAATTTTGCTGTTTTTGGTCAGAGATTCTTTCGCTATCTTGTTAATCGAATTTAAAGTATTTTTAAAAAAACTGTAAATAATACTTAAGTAAATTGATTTTAATAGAGTTAGTCGTAAACGTTATCCTTGGCTTTTTGGTAAATAAATATTGGAAAATATCGGGGTCATGTTTGAATAATAAAAAATTGTTGTTTTAGTTTTTTCCAAAATTTTTCATTTTTTACCTAATTACCGGGTTTTAAAACAATTATTTGTGTATAAATTGATAAAAAAAACAACGTTTTACAACAAACTCTATTTGTAATTCTTAATATGAGAAACCAATAGAATTAATTTCGTTTTAATAGTTGGTAAATGGACATCAAATATTAAAAAAATATAAAACAAAATAAGTTATCATGTATATCAAGTTGTTTATATAATATATGATTTAAACATTTTTATATACAAATGAATTACATTGAGTTTGTTATAAATAAAATTTAACTATCACCTCCGTTATGTCATACTCTACAATATTATCGACCTGTTGCCACGTCAAATTTGTGTCTCTATTGACTTGGTTTTTATGGTTTGCATTGTAAAGTCTGTTGTTCTTGTGTAAAAATTTCTGGTGTGTTTATCGTCTCAGATAATGTTGTCTGGTGTAATTTCCTTCTTCTCTACAAAGTCTGTGCCTTTGATCATTTTTTGTGATTTTCTTTGCTCTAACAAAGAGTTTGAGATTTAAAATGTTTGGAAACCCAATAAAGATGTTGACTTGGTTCAAAAATTGCCTCTTCTTGTATTGACAATGTACATGCCTTATTTGTAAACATTGTAAGTCACAAATAGCTTTTTGATTTTGGTGGGCGATAGAAAATTGGTCAGATATGTTCAAAATAACAAATTACACTTGTGATTACACGAATAATGTAATTTATATTTATTTTTCGAGTTTTATTAATTTTACTATATTTTACTATACTATAAAAAAACACTCTATACTAAAACGTATTATATTATTATACCATTTAAACCTACTATATTAAATTATATTTAAACTATAAATTAATCCAAAGAGTCTTAGGCCGCTGCATATGGATTTACAACATTAAAGTGTATTCCAGGTGTTTTAAATTACAATGGTTCGAAAGTCCAGTTACTTGATCTTCCTGGTATTGAAGGATCCAAAGATGGGAAAGGGTGATAACGACAAGTCATCTCCATAGCGGGTAAATGTGATTGTACAATGCTTTTAATTGTGGGACGAAGTCACCTGACTTAAAGGAAAAGATATGAGTTCGAGGGCTTTGGGATTAGATTGAACAAACGGCCACCTAAGATCAAAATAGTGAAGAAGAAGACGGGTTTGGTGTCATTTACACCATCAATTCCACAGACATGTTTGATACAAGAGAATGTCAGATTGACATTAAAAGAGTACAAAATATTGAACGCGGACGTTTATTGTGACTGCGACGTGTCAGTCCAAGACCTGATTGGTGCTATTGACCAGAGTTGTAAGTACATTCCATGCATTTATGTGGTGAATAAGATCGACCAAATGAATAAAGAAGACGTAGACAGACTAAAAACAGAACCGTATTTTGCGTGTATCTATGCAATGACAGAAGAGGGTATAGTAGCACTCAGAAAACAAAATTGGAAACAACTAAATCTGATTAGAGTGTATAAAAAATTCCAGGAGAATTTCCGAACTTTAAAGACGTTATTGTAATCCCAGCAAAGAAGGCAACAGTAGAGAATATTTGCTTTAAAATTTATAAACAACTTGTAGGACAAATGATATAGGCGTTGGTGTGGGGAACTAGTGTCACTAGATCACCACAGAGAGTTAAAAAGGAACATAAACTGGACGACAAGTATGTCCTGCAAAATATTGAAGGAGGGAAGTGATATTTTTCTGATAATTATGTTGATATAAATAGGTTTGAAGATATAAATAAGTAAATGTAGTTAATTGTATAGTAATGTTTATTATTAAAAGAATTATCTATATTTATCTTTGTTATAAAATATTATTAAAAGAATGATGAAAAATAAAAACATACTTTCTTTTTTGTAGATACTAGTTTTCAGCATTTTAATTTACTGAATAACTAATTTTTCAATTGAAACAAATGGACATAAATCTCTGAAAGATTCTCTTGTTGTGTTTACTTTAATTGGTTAATAATGTATTATAAATGACTAAAGCTTTTATTAAGTCGAAGAAAACATAAAGCTTTGGTAAATCAAATGTCTCAAACAAAAAATAATGGAAAAGAAATTTTATGAGGAGATAAGAACAAACAAAAAATGAACCACAAATATTTAAATTAGTAATTACATTTTCAAAGATAATGATCGTTAAAATAAGACCGTCCAAATTAATAAACAGACATTTGGTTGTGGTTGAAAAAAATCACTGTTGTGACTTCAAAAATAAAAGTGATGTTTAAAATGTATATGTTGTTAAAGCAGAAAGTTTGAGAATTTAAATGTGAAACATTAGCAAATGAATGATATTATATTTGAATGTTCTCAAATTGTACTCAAATGAATTCATAAACACGAAAGTAGAAAACATAATGTAACAGAATTATTATATTTTATTTAAAATTAAAAAGTCAAATAATAATTATTATAAATTAATAAATGTAATATATATATTTTTTATTTGAAAATATTTAATAAAAATATATATAAAAAATATAAAAAATGAACAACTCTTTGAAAAAAACAACTTTATTGTTTATTAGAAATTACCATAATTAAATTAAGAAAAAGGTTTTTCGTTTAAAGTATAAAGATGAATATAAATTTGAATAATTATTATCAAAAAAAACAACTTGTAATTTATTCAAATGGAAGAAAACAAAGTATATAATTATTTCAGAAATTACAATTCAGACATTGACCATAGTATAGTAAAACTAAAAGCAACAATGGAAACTCACGTTTCATCGCCCAAACTAGTTTTACCAAATATTATTGAAAATACAAACATTGGCAAATCCATTGAAGAAATTACTGCGAGTCTTGACATCGAAAAAATTAATGAAACAAAGTGCATTAACTTGTTAAAAGAAATAACAAATTGCTTATCAAAGCTTCTGGATTTGACCAATTTGCTAGAAATGATGAAAACCCAGTGTGAACAAGATGGTGTTGAAATTGTAACATTTAGAGACAACACTCTCAATCTTCTTTTACAAACAGAAAAAGTCCGTTGTGACAACGAGCTTGAGAGAAACGCTTTCCGCAAGACGGAATACAAAACGACTTTGCACAACGAGAGTTTGCATCAGAGAGATGATGCGACCTTCTGTGTATCACCCACAGCGTGTTTAAAGAGAGTCTACAACACACTTTCATATACAACACA